TTTCAATAAAATGAAGATTACTGCTGTTACTTTATTAGTTATAGTTAGTATTAGTACTAGGGGTGGCGCATTTTCTTTACTGATGCGTTACTTTACTGAGTAAAGCAACGCTTTCAAATATCACCGTATGAGTGACGAACAACCGAAAATGTATTGTTTTATCACCTTCCGGACACAATGCGACTAAAGCGTTACTATATTATGTGTTACTGGTAACGAGTAACGCATGCGTTACTGCGTTACTAGAAAGTAACGCAAATAACGCTGCGTTACTCGTTACAAAAGCTATGAAAAATAAACGCATGCGTTACTCGTTATCAGTAACGCAATAACGCATGTGTTACTCGTTACCAGTAACGCAATAACGCATGCGTTACTGCGTTACCTGTAAAGAAACGGTAAAGCGCCACCCCTAATTAGTACTGTTCACTTCAAGATTTTGACTATGTTCTCTCTGAAAATGGCTATACGATTGTAGATAGAAGACATAGAGAAATGAGATGTTTGAGACCTGCAATATTATTGTATACTATGTACACATTTTCTTTATGAATGGGCAAAAATTTTAATACACATAATAAAGTAACAGCAGTAATCTTCATTTTATTGAAATATATATAATTAAATTAAAACGAAAAATTTTCAACGTTTCGAACTTTAAGAGTTCATTTTCAAGAATAAAAACATAAACGTGTCACTAGCTCCAGTTCATATGAACGTGAACTGGTTCGGTCAGTTCCAGCTCTATGAGCTGAAATGGAACTGTCACATGCCTAGTTCGTCCTGAAAAAAAGTATATCCAATTAAGTACGACACAATTTCTTGTAAACATGTCAGTTATTGATAAAAAAATCGATAATTTTCTACAGCGGATGAAGGAAAATGGTTGAATGGCTGATCCTAGCATCTCTCTCCTGACGACGATCCTAAAACATTCGTTTGATCTTCTTTAGGTGAGGTTGAGGGATGACTGTGAAAACCTCTCAAACTTTTCATAACTGGGTCCTTTTTTTGTCAAAAACTTGTGAGAAAAAATCCAGAAATCTTGCTTAAAAATGCAAGAGATAGAAGAGTTCGATATCTGAGATACTAAATATTTTTGGGGAACATGCTTGTAACTTCTATGTATCACACCGAGAATGTTTGCGGAAAATACGAGTTTTTGAACTATGCTCTCGTAGAAAAAATTCAGTTTTGGACTCGTATCTTTGTTCGAGAACAGGACTGGTTGCGTTGGAGAGGACTTGTTGAGTTCTTCATGTCACACTCATTTACCATTCTGTCACACGTCTGACTGAGCATATTCTCGAGAAATATTAGAATATCCAACCAACTTATCCTACGTTATTGCGCAGTGCGAAAAATTTTTCATACAATTCCAAAACATGAAATAAAGATCAGACGAAAAATATTCTGTGCATTCTCTCTGCATCGCTTCATCTGCTTATTCTTTACGTGATTCAATTATACAGAAAAACAGAGAGCGAAAATCGAACATGTATACGGAATTGGACTAAGGCTGATGTACAGTATTTGGGATGGGACGATTATGCCACACTTGCACTAAGCAGAGAATACTCACTAAGAGGTTATCTTTATAAACATTAGATCAAATTCTATAAACACCTTCATGAACCACCAGAGTCACTAGCATACCAGCAAACCTAGACTGCCTTCTTGACTGCAACATCGCCTTCGAAAATTTACTACAACTCTATGGAATTTCCTAAGAACAGTCCCTAACATACTGGCAATTAAGGCTCAGCACACGCATTTGGATGTTCTCACTTTCAGCATTATTCTTCGCAAACAATTTTCTATTTTTATAATACCCGCTTCACTTCTGGAACATTTCGTTTGAAAAGTTTTTTCAACTTAGTTTTCCCTGAGCAATCTATGTGATCTAAGAAAAACAAACATGTAAAAAGAATCATTACAAAAATAGAAGTTTTCGCGTTTTCTTCGTTCCTTTTACTATTTTGAAGGTTTAACTATTTTGTTATTGAGTAAATGCACTTTTGGTCATGTTGGGACAATCATATAGACAAAAATTACGCTAAAAAAAGAGGCACTGTCGGAAAACTGACTGAAACGCAAAAGTAAGGTAAGCGATCAAACAAGCAAATATATGTTCTTAATCTTTGTCAAGTCTTCTATCGATTGATAAAAAAATTTCTAGTATAGGAGTTTTCAAAATGGAAAAGACTTATTGTACATTTTATTAGCGAGTTTCCAAAGAGATGCTCTATAGAAAAATGCACACTGTGCCCCTCCGTATTTTGCTTACTAAACTGTTGATTCGTCAGCACATCGATTTCTACCTGCCTCGCTTTTAATGTTCAGTAGTGGTTGCAGTCTTCTCTGAAAAGGAGTGAAATAAAGAACAGTACACAAAATATAGTTCGCATCTTATGCACACGGCACAGAATCAAGGATTTGAAATTAGAACTTGTCATAGTCCTTATAAAGCATAACTTATTCTACACTTTGTTTCTATCTTTTTTTATGCATCGTGCGTTATGATGTTATTTAATTTTCGAAATATGATTTATTTTAAAGAAGCTTTAATAATTTGTATGACATGATACTAGCTGCTAGCTGGCTTCTTTTCAATAATAGAAGCAACAGAAGAAAAATATTATTGTCTTATGCTTATTCATGACACTTCCTGTAAATCGATGGACACTGCAGTCAGATCTTACCCAGTGTTTCTCTCTGTATAAAGCGAACGGTCGGTTGTGTGTAATTCAGATATGCAAAAAAATTTGGTTATCAAAAGAGTTGCTACCCTTGTCATTTGCACGAAGAAGAAAATAACATCCTGTCGTTTTTGTGCGTTTACATTAAAAAGAACACCGAGAAAGTATTTTCGAGTTCACGATGGTTTATTAACCAGCTACCAACATAGTTCCAGTTTTAATTTGACTGAACTCGTCAACATTTTTCTAGGTATCTTCTAGTAATCGCAAATGAAATGCCACTTGCTTTAGATTCTGTATCTCATGACAATAAGAATGGTTATTTTCTTTCCTCCACTTCCTTCGTTAAAATATCAATTGTACACACCTGCCAAGGGTGCATCTGTTGAAAGAGACAACTGATTACTAATTAGAATCTACTAATTAGAAGATGTAGGATAAATAGAAAAGGATATTTTATCATATTTATATTTGTTTTATAATGTCTTTTTTTGTATTAAATCTTGTAATTCTCAATTGTCACTGAGCGACTAAAACACGATCTAACATACACTTTCAGTCACGGCACGCTTATTCGGCAAACAACTATTTCGTGAATGTGAGCGGGACTTCGAAAAGTAGCTTCATATTAAAAATATTTACATCACATAGTGTGAATTTGCTTCAGGCGTTTCAGGTACTTATCTGGTATGTCAGTATTTCAAGTTGATTTTAGAATTTTTTTAACGAGTACGTTCAGTAATAGTCATTGTTTTGTTAGTTTTCTTAACATCTATTTACAAAAACCCGTGGAAGAATCGGGATCCTGTTCGCGGAACTGTCGGTTCACGGAAGAGTCGGTGAGTCACTTTCAATTCATATGGATGATTTTAACTATCAGAGTCTCGAACGCCGACTGATTAAAATATAGTGTAAAAAGTACCTGAAAAAACGGAAAAAAAGAATAATGAGTTTTATTTCTCTTCTCAAGTGGAAAAAGAATGCTAGGAAAGAGAAGAGAAAGATAACAAATACTTGCTCTTTTAGCGATAACTATGTTTTAAAACAATCTAATGTCTCTCACCGCGAAGAGAGATAAACGAACAAATGACTATTATTAATATTATTCATCTCTCGCAAGTTTTCTGCATTGTCAGATTGACTTTGACGACTTTTATCATTGTTTATCCTCTGAGGAAAGTGAGGTGTTATACCTAGATCCAACTAAACATTTTTTCACTTGTCGGTTTTCTCTTGACTCAGAAATTTACTGCGTTCATATACCAACATGCAGAAACGATTGATGTCTTAATATTCTGCATTTTTTAGATCTACTAAGCACCATCACGCATCATAACAACATCATCAAGAGAACCTAAAAGCGACCAAATGATACTTGGCTATTGGAACATTTGTGGTTTGATTGAACCGAGTCGTATGATATTACGTTATACAAAAACGCCCTTTATAAATCAAACGTATGCATTTCAAGATGGTCCAAATTATGCAAGTGAATGGTTAAAAGTAAAACAAACATTTGCCTTGATTTAGCATCATCATCTAGCCATGTACAGAAGAAGAATAACACCGTATGATGAGAACTATCTTTGACTTCTATAGCACATATTTTGCGAATAAATCCATTTCCAAATTTGCCGTATTTAATTGACGGTGATATAAAATTAACACAAAGCAAAGTCATTTTACGCCATTTAGGACGAAAATTTAATATGATGGGTAAAACGGAAAAAGAGATAGTAATCTGTGAATTATTAATTGATCAGTTATTTGATTTACGTACAGAATTTAATAAAGTTGCATACGGTCCAGTTGAAGGTTTTGAAGAAGCCAAACAAATATTTATCAATGGACCATTAACAGACTTAGAAAAATTAGATCAGAAAAATTTTTAGGTAAAGATAATAAAAAATGGTTAATATCAAATGATTTAACCGCTGATTTTCAGTTTTATGAATATATTGATGATTGTTGGTTAATGACAAATGATTCATGGAAAGAATATCCATAGGTTTTAAATTATTTGAAAAGATTTCAAGAAATACCAGAATTAAAACCTTATTTAAAAAGTCAAGAGTATAGAAGTATGGCAATAAATACAAAATTTGCTCGTTTTGGTGATGGTATTGAAAAACATCAAGACAAAAAATAAACAATGTACACGAATACATCGTACTATTCATGATTGTTATAATGTAGTTGTCACTATGCCATTTTTTCTTACTTTTTTTAATCATACTAATAAAGTTTCTCAAATCTTATATAGCAATTATTGTCTACATGGATATGAAGTAGATCATCTAATAGACATGTACATTCTCCTCTCGCTCGAATGAAATACTACTATAGGCATAACGTAAAAAACGTTACAGAAAAGAAATGAACTCTCGTTTGACGTTACAGAAAGAGAACAGAAAAGTATGACGTTTATACGTATAACCTCTAAAGACAGTCCGATATTTTTTTCTTCGTACAAATAACAAACCAGTTAGACCATAAAAATAGTAAAAATTATTAATGCAGAGTTAAAACGATTTTTTATTTAAAATAAATCACTTTTCAAAAATTAAATAACATCATAAAACACTATGTATAAAAAAAGATAGAAACAAAGTGTAGAATAAGTTATGCTTTATAAGGACTGTGACAAGTTCTAATTTCAAATCCTTGATTCTGTGCCGTGTGCATAAGATGCGAACTATATTTTGTGTACTGTTCTTTATTTCATTCCTTTTCAGAGAAGACTGCAACCACTACTGAACATTAAAAGCGAGGCAGGTAAAAATCGATGTGCTGACGAATCAACAGTTTAGTAAGCAAAATACGGAGGGGAATATCAGCAAAATAAGGATGAAATGTGATTATTATTAAATATGGTGCACAAGAAGAATGAATAAAATAAAGCAATTCGATCGAACGGACAACAACACTAGTTATAGTAGAGCGAGTATCGGGATGCTGAAAATGTTGATGATCAAAAGTACATTTACTCAATAACAAAATAGTTCGACATTGAAAATTGTAAAAAGAACGAAGAAAAGGCGAAAACTTTAATTTTTCTAATCTGTTGTGTGAAAGAAGAACATTTTCATGTTCGTGTTGTATGAAATAGATGATGGTGAAAATACCTTGTTTTTCTTCTTGACAAACATCACCTCATAAATTATTTTTTCATGCAAAAATAATTTTTTATTATTCTTGTCTTGATTGAAAGTCTAGGATTTTGCAAGATAAATCGCGGCATCAAAGGAAGAGAAGGACGCTAACACTATATGACATCCCAATCGACATCAGCGTGTCAATAACGTTTAGAGATTATTTAATTTGAAATATTTAATGATAAATCGTAATGACTAAATTCAATTGTTTAGTTAGTCTATTACGATAGAAGATTAGATGCTCTATTTCATAGCCCTGCAGACAATAATTGCTGTATAAAGTTTAAAACCCTTTATTAGTATGGCAATGTAGTCGCTAACCTGTTAACCAAATTTTATCAAATATCTGGCAAACTTCTAAACGAACGGCTCTTGTTACTGCACTTATCCATGCTGTGATATATACTGAGTGAACAAAAGCAATTAACTCATTCACAGTACAATGTCCTTAACAGCCAGTTAATGCCTGTTTTGTCAACTACATACTTTTTATCAAACTGTTAGTTTGGCTTTCGTCCAAACTGCTTTGCTGTGGACACGTTAGTTTTCATTACTAATAACAGCTTCAAATCTCCAAATGATTGTGAAAGAATTGTTGATATTTATTTTGATTTTAAACAAACTTATGGTCATATACCTGATGAAAGTCTTTTCCATAAACTGTACCTTGCTGGTATGTGTCAGGTCGTTTTCCTCCGTGGTTTTCGTTTCACTTATCTGAACGTGAAACCGTAAAACTTTGTTCATCTTTTTCTGCCCGCGTTCTTGTAACATCCGGTGTTGCACAAAACGGTCTCCAAGATCCTGTGCTATATCCAATGTTTATTAACTATCTTTCACAGACACGTATACTTCGTCACTGGCCGGCTTGGATAGATAACATGCTGAAGGTATCAGGTATCAATGCTGAAATATTAACGTTCAAGTGCACAAAAACCACCACGACCGTCATGTACAACGTAGTCATAGCCTAAGGAAATGGCACGTTTTCTTTTATTAAGTCTCACTTTCATTACTATGTGCATAAAAGAAAAGATGACGATAAGTATATATTGGATTTGCAGCTTTTAGTGACGCCAAAAAAACAAAAAAATAAAAACCTCGTTTGAACGTGCGAAACTTTGTCGAACATATCTGCTGGCACTGAGTTTCATTTAGCACTCGACATTTTTACAATCTCTCCTTCCTTTGATGCCTCATCAGTAGAAAATACAGTTAAATGTATACAATACTTGATGCTTTATCAGATGGTTATCCAGAAAAACATTTCATTACTTCTAGATAATTACGACCAGCATAACTGGCGAAAACTTGCTATTCAAACATTTATTCAATTTTTCTTACGCCAATAAATCATCTTTTCCGTTCGAAAAAGAAATTTACAAGTGCTTCAATCAATCAGTCTTCCTCTGTCTATGACACCAAGGTCTAACACATAGTCGTGTGGAAATTCATTTGTACGTCTACTATAACAACAACCACTCGTGGCGTCCTTGTGCAGTAAACTTCATATTCAAACAAAGACAATGAAACTTTCTCTTTTCTTTTGCGCAGAATAAAACATAAAGAGTTTTAATTTTCTAATAGAAGCCTAAAGAAACCTTTGTTGTTTCTTTGAGAAGAAAAGTTTATTTTTCTGTTTCTTCTACGTTGTCGAGCACATACTATACAAAACCGCCACTAACTGAGTATCATCACCACAACCACATCGTTTTCTTCTTGCATTTCTTTCCATGTCGCCGCTCGTTTTGAAATTAAAACAGCTGCCGAACGCTGAAGAAAAAGTGTCGAGAAACACTCAAGTTCGATAAGATCAAATACGAAGTTAGTATAGATCGAGCTCGTAAACATATTACTGCAAATCGTACACATCTCCAGAGTAAGATTCTGGATAAAATGAAAAGTACCGTCACCCAAACTATGGTGATAAGCAAAGACTGAAACGACTCAGCGGCAAAGATCTCTATACATGCAAAATAAAACTAATTAGAACCGACAGTACAAACTTTATTCTACAGTTTCTGCATATTGCAGCATAACTGCCACAGAAATGAGAAGAAAAGACGTTCGCCAAGAAAGTGAACGGCCTTTCCCTAGATGGTAATGAAATACGATCAAAATTTTGAATTCCCTTGGCAGAGAAGTATTTCTAAAATTATTATGTATTGCGAAATGTAAAATGGAGCATGTCTAGTAGTTGAAAGTCTTTTCGAGTCAAATTCATATCGCGCCATTGTCTAGGAAAAGATCCATGTCGCGTCCTCTTGTCAAACGAAGCCGTAAATACCATTGAGCTGTACGCAACCGGTCGACTCAAAACAGCCTTTTCTTAATCACTCTGATAGAAAACTTACGTTTCAATCTATAAATTATAAATAAACAGTAAATATAATTTCCAAATTCAAAAGTAAGTTATAAATTTCAAGGGTGAAAACATTCAATAACATTCACAGACTTCTTTTTTAATATGAACTTTCGATTATTCATGTAAAAGTAACATATAGAAGAAGAGAGAAAAATAAACTTTTCTTCTCAGAGAAACGAGAAAAAATTCTGCAGTTCGAAACCAAAAATTCTTTATTTTTCATTCCGCGAAAAGAAAGTCTCAACAAACCTGCGTTGATTTTCGAAAAGAAAGGCTTATTTTGTGTGTCTTCTGTGCTGTCGACCACATCTTATATAACACTACCACAAATTGAATAGCATCATCACCACAACAACACTCTTTTTTAATATATGTTGCTTGTTCGCGAATAATTGAAAGCAGAAATAAAAAGAAAATTTCGTACTTATAATACACCAAACGCACACTAATTTCTAAATTCAGAAGTAAGTTGTTTATACGAATACTTATAATAAGACAATTATCTTGACTAGGATGTTTCTCAGGAGATTAGATACCGTTAGTCCGGCTATAGTACTGAAGGAAGCTACACACTCAGACCGTCGTAGAAAGCCGAAATAGTCCCACGGGTATGCCTTTTCTACGAACGTCGTGAAAGCAGGAAAAAGCGCCTTTTGCAAGTAAATGGGCTCTTATGCTTTTGACTGGAAAAGACTCCCAACTTGTAGACTTGCTTCATTTTTCCTTTCCATTTTAATTTCTCTCTGAACAACTCTTTTTTTTTACGTGTCACTTTTGCGGTGAACGTCTTTTCTTCTCGTTTCTGCGTCAATTGTGCTGCAATATGCAAAAACATTAGAACAAAGTTTGTGGATAATTGTTTCGATTATCTTTTGTTTCAGAGGAGTTTAAACAGTCAGTTATTTTTGTCATCGTCACGAAGGGGAAAAGAGCGGCGACATGGAAAGAAATGCAAGAAGAAAACGATGTGGTTGTGGTGATGATATTCAATTAGTGGCGGTTTTGTATAGTATGTGCTCGACAACGTAGAAGAAACAGAAAAATAAACTTTTCTTCTCAAAGAAACAACAAAGGTTTCTTTAGGCTTCTATTAGAAAATTAAAACTCTTTATGTTTTATTCTGCGCAAAAGAAAAGAGAAAGTTTCATTGTCTTTGTTTGAATATGAAGTTTACCGCACAAGGACGCCACGAGTGGTTGTTGTTATAGTAGACGTACAAATGAATTTGCACACGACTATGTGTTAGACCTTGGTGTCATAGACAGAGGAAGACTGATTGATTGAAGCACTTATAAATTTCTTTTTCGAACAAAAAAGATGATTTATTGGTGTAAGAAAAATTGAATAGTGTTTGACAGGTATGCATCTTCTG